TTGCCACCACTCTCCACTTCCACTGCCCTCTCTGTACGCTGCGCCCTCTTCCCCACCATGCAGTTGCTGCTCCCCCACGTAGTCCTCTCCCCTTGCTCCATGCTGGCAGGCTCCATACGTACAGTGAAAACTAGGACACTGAGAACAGGCCCACCCTAGCTCTGGAGCAGCAGTGCACAGTCTGCATGGCTGCTACGGGGGTTGGGTGGGGGCCATCCTCTGTCCCAGACTAGAATGAGGATGTAGCCTGCTGGCATGGAGCAAGGATAGGAGGGAAAGAGGGGAGCAGAGGGGCAGCAGAGGTGGAAGGGGGCCCAAGGCATGGGGAGAGGCAGGGGACAAGCTGTTTGACCTCCCCACCTGCCCCTATGCAGCAGTTGGAGGGGATAAATTAAAGACAACCCTCCAATACTTGGATTCTATACACAGAAAATTATAACAAGTTTATAAATTTTCCATGTATAGATTCTAATTATTGGGGAGTTATATTACATTTATCATCATCTAAGATTTGCATAAACATCGTATGCTCTTTTTATTCAAGCACAGAATTTCTATCCACAAGGATTCTATCTCAGATAAAATTTTTAGGGTGTTACTGCCTATACTATCTACATTCATGGATGGGTTGAAAGAACCAAGATTATTTATTGAGACAACTGAGAGGAGGACTTGATAAGTCTTCAAATACAAACAAAGAGTGATGATCACCTATTCGATGTCTCAACAGGTGACAGGACAAGAAGCAAATTTCAAACTGCAACAAGAGAAATTTTTGCTTGCATATTTGGAAGAGCTTTCTAACTGTAAGATGATCACTCACTGGAACGTCTAAGGAATCCCCATATTTGGGAGATATAAAGTGCAGGATAGACAAGTACTTGGTTGACTTGGCTGGAATGGTTTACATATATGAAACAAGGGACAGGACTAAACCCGTCTTCCAGACCTTTTGTTTTGTTTTATAATTTTTGATTGTGTGAGGCTGGTAGGATTTATTCATAGGTCCTTTGAATAATGCTTATTTTACTCAAAGATGCAACAATTTAAGATAAATATGACACAGTGTATGGACAGTCTTGACCCAACTTGATTTCTGTTAATCCACTGAACTACAGTTTTCTGCCTAGCAGTAGCATAACTTCCTTGCACAGAAAAATCCCTCAGGTTTCAAGAAAAGCTCCCCATCTCTACAGTCAGGCAAAAGCAAAAAAGTCTTGGAAGTTTTCAAACAGCAAATATAATATAAATACAAATACAAATACAAATATAAATATATTTTTAAAACGCCTTGGTCTTAACTGAAATTTTGGTATGTGTTGCTGTTTTAAAACTTC